GGGGCGAGAATGGGCGTTTGGCCCGCCTCTGCTGGCCCGAAGAGTCTCAATCAGTCAGACGCTAATGACGCGGAGGCTACCAGCGCTGAAGCGTCGTCTGGCGCATGTTGTACTTTCACTAAAGCGAAATCGTCTACGTACACCCCGCACGAGAAATCATCGTGTGGTCCGCCTCCGTCATGCGGTTTCACGTTGGCATCTCGGGGCACTCTGGTGGGTGGTCCGTGTTCCCANCCTTCGTCTACTAGTTGTACGTTGTGTACGTTAGTGTTGCGGTGAGAGTGTTCAGCAGCGGACGCCATGACTCCCCAAAAACCGGGCGAGTCTGCCCACCCAAACGTCAGTCTGAAGTCAGCGACTAGTACGTCTCCTATCACAAAGCAGAATTTTTGTGCATCGTCTGGTGCAACTCTCACGTCTCGGTAAGCGTTGTTCACGTCCGCCGTAGACACTAGTATCCTCTTGTCAGGCCATTTGACTCTCAAACGCGTTATTTCAGAAAGGAAAGCAGGTAGAGTCTCTCGGCACAAGCAGTCGAGTACTTCTTCTGTTACGGTGTCTACGTTGACTCCTCCCTTCTGTCCGCGCAGTAGTTTGGGGTCAAAAGAAAAATCGTTGATGATTCTGATTTTTTTTCCTACCACAGCTCCTAGCGGCGATACGCGAACGCCCTTCATACGAGCTGCGTCCGATACGTTGAATACGAGGCATCTTTTCTGCTCGATGTCATCTGTCAGTTTCTTCCACACCAGTTCCGTGTGGACGTCTATCGTACTGTGATTTCCGTATTGGAGAGCGCTCTTGAGGTTAAGCGGGCTGTCGTGCGTTTTCGCTGGCACACCGTTGTCTACGATGTCTATGAGACTCGATAAGTCTGGGAAGTGCTTTTTGGTTCCGAAGTGTTGTTCGAGGTCGCTCAGGTTTAGCGGCGGTGACACCAAGGTGCCGCCGATTGCCCTCGCGACATCTACCAACTTTCCGTCGTTCGTTTTCAGCAGCATGCTACCCGTCTTCGCGAGTTCGTGAATGATTTCCTGTTTTTCTTCAANTGACATCTCCCCACTCTCCGTCGTTCGTTTTCAGAAGCATGCTACCCGTCTTCGCGAGTTCGTGAATAATTTCCTGTTTTTCTTCAAGTCGTGTACCACGTACTAGGCATTCCTTTTGTTCTCTCCACATTTCAGCCAGTAGCTTCCCATAAGGAGGTGGCAAGGCTGCCGACCCGTCACTATCCGTGTCCCTCTTGCCGTAGGG